GAGGCGGCTCAGAGGCGGCTCGGAGGCGGCTCGGAGGCGGCGCGGCGCGGGCGGCCGCTCGCCCGCTATCAATCAACGTCGCTGAGCGTACAATATCGTTCGACACACGTACACAACAAGCTAATTAGAGTTTGAGGTGAGTTCTACGCAGTTAAGTGTTCCAGTACGCGTGTCATGTTTGCTCAATACACTTCCCACGCCGCAATATATAGTACGTAATATTGTTTTTATATTCCTCCCTTCCTTATAAATTTCTTTCCCGTAATATGTTGTTGTTTATCGTAATTGTATCAAGTTTGACTAATCAAATTCACCTAAGTTTTAATTTTATATTGGTCATCTAAATGAATTTAGATATAAACTTTTTTTTAAATAGTCTTATTTGATTCTCTGACATGATTGTTGGTTATTCTCACTTGTACTTTCCCAGATACATTCTGTGAGACGCAATGAAATAGGAAACTTGGCAGTTTCCTATTTCCTTAGGTGTAGTAGTAGTTAGAATTCATTCTAACTTAATTTCGGTGATAATCCACTGAGAGTTGCCTATTTCAATGTCATTGAACTCATAACAACCACTGAATAAATGTAATATAATATGTCAGTGTATGACGTGAACCGTTTTCAGTACATTAAAGTTTACAAACAAACTCTTTCATTTACAAAATGTGTTTGCCTAAGTAATTGGCTCCCTCCGAGGATTCATGAAGTCGTCACAATTTTAAACCGCTACAGCGAAAAGCGATTTAGCTGCTAACAGTGAGGTGACAGTGTGGAAGAAAAATGAGCTGGTTTGGAAATTGTCATCTAAGTTATTGATTCCTCTTTACTGCAATGCATTTATAGAATGGAATAGAAAATCCTTTATTCAAATAAATTTAATTTAAGCACCTTTGAATAGTCGTATCAATTTTTTTAATCTACCGCTCATTCGGATAGCTGTCGCATTACAAGAAGATAAGCAAGAAACTTGTGTGTTGCTCTTTTAAGTAATCCTTGTAAATTTACATTTTTCAAGTCGAAACGTGTGAATACAAACTACCAACCAGCACTAATTTATTAGGGTCAAATATAAGTACACAATAAGATTAAATCAGTCGTAGTGATTAGAGCAGACCAGTCCGCACAAACTGCACTCGTTCACGAGTATGACGTATGAGCCAGCCGACGTATGAGCAGCTGTTCCCGCGACTTCTTCCGCATGAAATTTAACTTCATTTTTCTGAAAAAAAAAATATTTTTTATTTAAGTAGCCTAAGTTACTCCTTATTACATCAGCTACCTGCCAATAAAAGTCCCGTCAGAATCGGTCCAGCCATTTCAGAGATTAGCCGCAAGAAACATACAGACAGACAAAAATTGTAAAAAATGGTATTTTGGTGTATGTTTCGTATTTATATTCATATGCATGTAGTAAAAAACAGACACTCTAATTTTATTTATATGTATAGATATATACGTATATATTAAAACTATATTATATCTACTATTGAGTAATAATATCTGAAACTATTGTACCTATATGTAGCCGTACCCCGTACACGGAGCGTGTCGACGTCGCGCCGCGCCGCGCCGCGCCGCGTCGTCCCGCCCGCGTCGCGCTGTTTCTGATTTTCCCCGAGGATTAGAGCGCGACCAAATGGTACTAACTAGGAGCTAATACTCGTAGTAAACTCGGGGAACTGTGCAGAGTGGGCTCAGCTCGAACTGAGATTCAATTATGTACTCTGATTTACACATGCATAGGGACTACTTATTCACTTCTATTCACTTCTTTTTTATTTTATTTAATAAAGATAAGTACAGTTATTTTTATACATTGACTCGCCAAACTGTAGAACAGTTTGTTGGCAAGATATCGCTCAGTTTTTTTTCCCTGGAAACCATCATGATAATTTTTTGATGAATTTGTCACGATGTATGTATGTACCTATACTGACTTCAAGCTCATTTTATCATCCTCCACTGGTACCCCGTCAGTGTAAACCGTTAGCGCAGGCAAATGTACCATCCTATTATAATAAATAAAAAAACCTACAAAAATGTATTAATTGAACTAATCTAGGATTCCTTAGCCAAATGAGAAACATTTATGCGTCAAATAAATATTTCTGTTCTCCCGGCCTTTTTTTAATTCAACTATCTGTAAGTGTATAAATATAAATTATTTTCAAATTATTAAAATTATACGATTGCTACACCCCACCGAAGTAACGTCGAGGGGCATAGTGGAATATTACACCGGTTTAAAATAGAATGTAGTGACTTCAAATCTAGTCTACACAAATATTTACGTGTCAATTTAGATTTCCTAATATCTTAATTAAACAATTATGTTCACTAATATTCCGTGGACAGAAACACCGATCACATTGTGTGGACACCGATTGTATTTATATCTCTAAATTGAGAAGCAAACAGATGACTGCGAACAGGGATGAATGGAAGAGAAAAACATTACGCCGACCACAAATAAATGACATAAGGAAGAAGCAGGTGATGATGATGATGATGATGATGATGAGAAGCAAACAATTAAATGTTACTGTAATTTTTACTGCGTTGAAGTAGACACAGTCACTCCATTTCACTAGGTATATAGTTATATGGACAGAATGAAAACAGTTAGACCTTTATATCTGGAGTGCTTATGTCTAAGCTTTCTGTAGCTTATAACATTAGCTAAAGGTTTATTATTATGAAGCTGTAACTGTCAAATCCTTACTTCGGTACTAATATTATAAATGTGAAAGTACGGATGTTTGTTAAGCTTTCACACAAAAACTACTGAACTGATCATCATGAAATTTTGTACACATGTTTTTCGAGGTATTAGAATAAACATAATATACTTTTTATTAAAAAACTAAATCTTTTTTATAAAAATAAAAAAAATTACAAAATTTTGCTACTCGAGCACCATCTAGCACTTAGTAATCCAGTAATGAAGTTATGCGAGCGAAGCCGCGGGGAAAAGCTAGTAATATATACACAATCGCTAAATTCCAGTCAGTTTCCAACGAGAATCGTTGATAATTGAGTTATATGTACATAAGTTATATGTATAAACCTACAAGAATGTTCCTTTCCATGGCACAAAATATTGTAGGTAGTAGCGTGACTCGCGTGTACCGGACTCAGTCGACCCATTATTTCTAAGAAAGCGAACTTCAAAGCCAAAAGAAAATGCGTTTAAGAGACAACGGCAACTATTACACGGGGCTCGCGTGTATTTGAAAATATATTTTTATCAGAAAGTAATAAGCGTAACCTTTGAACCGACGGCCCGTACGGCCCGGCACGCTTTTGTTCAGGAATTGGCCGCAGCGTGCTCGCCACGTGTTTCAGTAACTACAACTTGCCATCTATCCTACAAAACACAGAAAGTTATCCATTTTTATACGACTTCATACTCAATACTATAAGGACTCTATAGATTTACCGAGTAAGTAATACCTAGCAGATTTGTATTTGTACAATGTAAGTGTTTGGCTGAAAAGTAATTTCCAGAGCCGTAAAATACTTTTATAATAATAATTATAATAATAATAATAATAATAATAATACTTTATTTGCCAAATGTAGGTAAACAATCAGGTGTTATAAATATGTTGTTGAGATCCGTACATTAACCTCGTAAGAGGTGTGCAAAATTTCAAATTGTAGGTACAATTAATGTTTAATGAAATAAAATTACTGTACTACGTCATCATACCGATAGTCATTAATCAATTGTCTTTACGTCAATGTATCAGTCAGGAAATCACCAACTGTGTAGTAAGTTTTACCAATCAGTATATGTTCTAAGAGCAGTTTTAAATTGATGGATACTACCAATAGATTTTAATGCCCTTGGAAGATTATTATATATTCTAGGTCCCATTCCTAAAATACTATTACACGACATAGCAGTTTTAGCCGGAAAATTACACAATTTATCATTATTACGTATTCCTTTGATGTTATTAAAAAGTTCAAGGTTCGTCTTAATAAAAATAGACACCTCATAAATGTAAAGGGATGGAGCCGTAAGTAGATTGTATTTTTTAAAATATGGAACACAACTATCAGTATTTTTTAAATTACACATCGCCCTGACACATTTTTTTTGTGCTTTAAATACTAGATCCTTACCCGTAGCGTTACCCCAAAAAATTATACCGTATCTCAAAGTTGATGAGACGTACGCATGGTAAGCACTTAGAAGAGTAGTTATACTTACTACCTTTGAAAGATTGTATAGAGCAAATGAAAATCGATTTAAGTCTTTACAAATTTTTTCGATTTGATACTTCCATTTTAATTTATCGTCAATATAAATACCCAAAAATTTTGTATTATCAATGTTAAGTATTTTATGTCCTAAATAGTTAATGTTCATTGTAGCAGTTTGAATTGAGTGTCTATTAAATGTCATCATATTTGTTTTAGTCAGATTAATTTTTAAATTATGTCTTTGTAACCAGTCAATTATACATTTTGTAGAGTTATTTATTTCTTTTTCATAATTATAATTGGCTAATTTATCATTTATAAATAATATAGTACTGTCATCTGCAAATAAAATCATTGGATGATTAACAACCCTCGGTAGATCGTTTATGTATATATTGAATAAAAGCGGACCTAGTACACTACCTTGAGGAACACCACATCGTATGTATCGCAATTTCGAGGTGTAAATAGTCTCATTCTTACTTTTTACACATATTCTACTAATCTGTGTTACATGTTGCCTATTGAATAGATACGATTCTAATAATGATAATACATTTCCTCTTATACCATACGACGCCATTTTTTTAAATAATATGTCGTGATTTACATGATCAAATGCTTTAGTCATGTCCATAAATAGCGCTGTTACACTTATTTTCTTATCAGTGTTAGTAATTACAGTATTAAGAAAATTAAATATAGCTAAATGTAAGGGATATGGTTGAATTTTGCTTAACGTATTTTGTGTAATGTCTAGAGCAAGGAAACACACGTCTGTTCTGTAGTAATTTGTATTTGCAACTAAACTGGAATAACATGCCGCCCACCAAAATGACTATAAGTTATTTTAAGAAACAATTTTTAAACATATGAATAATGAATTTAACATTATATAAAATTACTATCAGTATTTACAGGTAAGTAACACAATTTACTAATTGATCTTTTTACAATATTATCGCCACTTTTCACGCTGTAAACTCTAGTAATACCATCTTGTCCAGGATGTTTCTCAAGTATTCGTCCCAGAGCCCATTTACCAGGTGGCAGCTGATCATTTTTAATTAGAACTATTTGTCCAATAGCAAATTCCTTCTCTGTCTTGAGCCACTTAGGCCTTTGTTGAAGCCTCGATAAATATTCCTGCTGCCATCGGTTCCAAAAATCTCTTAGCAATTTTTGAGTATGTTGCCAGCGTGACAGATTGCTAACCTTGACAAGTTGTAAATTGGGGTTGGGTATAACAACAGGTGCTTCGCCTATGAGGAAATGCCCAGGTGTTAGTGGTTTAATGTCATTTGAGCCATCTATCGGACAGAGCGGTCTCGAATTCAGGCAAGCCTCAATTTCACAAAGAATGGTAGTCATTTCCTCGAACGTTAAATGGTTGGTGAGTATGCGTTTTAGGTGATATTTGATTGATTTCACCCCGGCCTCCCATAAACCCCCAAAATTTGGGCTGTACGCGGGTATGAAATGCCATTGTGTACCGTCACATGCCAAAGATTCAGCTATTTCTCCTGAAAATTCCAAACAAGCTTCTTTCCAGGCATTTGATAACTCTTTATTCGCACCAATAAAGTTTCTTCCTTGATCGCTCCATAAGTGTGAGCACTTTCCCCTCCTGGCAGTAAATCGTTTGAATGCTCCTATGAATCCTTCTGATGTCATATCTCCAACTAATTCTAGATGAATGGCTTTAGTAGCCATGCATATGAATATAGATATGTAGGCTTTCTTAGTTTTCATGCCTCTGCCCTTCGATATCAATACTTGAAATGGACCAGTAAAATCCACACCGCTGTGCAAAAACGGTCGCGAAGGCGTCACACGCGCCTTTGGCAAATCTCCCATAATCTGAGTTCTTGCAACAGCATTGTGTCTTGCACATATCAAACATTTACGTATGTATGACTTGATCATACTTTTCCCTCTTAATATCCAATACTTAGAAGTCAGGTACGTCAGCATCACTTGTACACCTCCATGTAAAGTTCTACGATGTGCCTCAGCCACAAGCAAATATGTCAATCTGTTTTTATGACTGAGTATGATTGGATGTTTGCTTTCTTCGTTTATATTGGCGTGTCTGAGTCTTCCGCCCACCCTGAGGACTTGTAGTTCATCTAAGTATGGATTCAATGATTTTAGACTGCTACTTTTTCGTACCATGTTTTTGTTTCTTAACGATTCAATTTCATCCTCAAAATCATGTTCTTGGCTTATTTGTATGCATACATGTAATGAATCATCTATTTCTTTTGTTGTTATTGTATTACTTATATCTTCTGATGATAATTTAAATTTTAGAAATCTCTTGCATAGCGTTATTACTTTCAATAATTCTGTTAATGTGTCGTAATTTTCAAATTGTGAATATATACTAGTTTCTTTTTCTTGTTTATTTATGTTCAAGTGTGCATGTATAACCGTTTTCCTTTCCTCATCTGTCTGTATATAACTTGGCTTTTGAAATTCTATCTTTTGATCGGACAACCATTTTGGCCCTTTCCACCATAATTTCGACTGTTTCAGATCTTTAAGAAACATTCCTCTGGAAGCTATGTCTGCAGGATTGTCACGAGACTTCACATAGTACCATTGCCTGTTGTTGGTGTTATCAATTATTTCTACAACCCTGTTCGCTACAAAAGGTTTCCATTTACAAGGTTCTCCACGTAGCCAAGATATAACAATAGTGGAATCAGTCCACGTAAAAACTTGAGACATTGACAACTTCATTGCATGTGTTACTTGTTTGAGCAATCTCGACAGTAAAACAGCACCACAAAGCTCTAAGCGTGGCAGTGATATTGTTTTTAATGGAGCTACTCTTGTTTGCGCAGCAATAAGAGTGGTAGTTACGGTTCCGTTGGAATTAACAACGCGACAGTACACTACCGCCGCATAAGCTTGCATTGAAGCATCGCAGAATCCGTGTATTTCAATAGCTTCTTTCTCTTTATTATATGTATGTAACCATCTATCTATATGTATGTCACTTACGTTTTTAAAATCATATTTAATTATCTTCCATTCATCTATCAGTGATTGACTTATTTCTTCATCCCAACTGTATCTCTGAATCCAAAGTCGTTGTATAAATATTTTTGTTTTTACTAATAACGGTGCTATCCATCCCAGCGGATCGTAAAGTTTTTGCATGTCTGACAAGATTCTTCTTTTTGTAACAGTAACTGATTCATCATGTGTTGTTGTATTATACTCGAATTTGTCAGTTTTTAAGTTCCATGAAATACCCAATGCTTTTGTAGTACCATCAATATTGAGATCTAAGTGCACATTTGATGATCGTTCGTTTGGTGTAATAGCTCTCATAAATTCAGCATTGTTAGATGACCATTTCTTTAGTTTGAAACCACCTTGTTGTAATAGTTCTCTTAACTCTTTGCTGGCTGCTATGGCTTCCTTTACATTATCACAACCGGATAGAACATCGTCTACGTAGAAATCTTCTTGTAATATTCTACTGGCAATAGGATAATTGTCGCCTTCATCATAGGATAGCTGCATGAGTGTCTTAACAGCCAGGTATGGAGCTGACGCCGTTCCAAACGTTACTGTGAGCAAACGGTAATCTTTCAGAGGTTCGTTAGGGTTATTTCTCCATAAAATTCTTTGAAAGTCAGTATCTTCTTTTGCTATTAAAATCATACGATACATTTTTTCAATGTCAGACACAAAACAAACAGCATGCATTCGCCATCTCATCAACAGACTTCTGAGATCTCCTTGCAGTACTGGTCCCAGCAACAGATCATCATTCAGCGAGGTGCCGTTTGAACCCTTGCATGATGCATCAAACACGACACGTGTACTGGTAGTCTCCTTTCCTTCGCGAATGACTGCGAGATGTGGTATGTATATTGATTTTTTTGTATAAATTTCTTTTTCAGGTACTTCTTCTATATGTTTCATATTTATGTATTCGTTTATTACTTCCGTGTATTTTTCTTTTAATTGTGGTTGTCTGTTAAATCTTTTCTCTAGCTGTATAAATCTATTTAAAGCTATTTCTCTTGTGTTTCCGTCTGGTGATATCGGTTTATCTGTCTTAAATGGTAGCTTCACTATGTATCGACCCTCATCATTTCTTTTGTATGTTTTCTCATAAATCTCTTCACAAAGTTTCTCTTCTTTTGTATATTTTCTTTCAGTGTTCATGTCTACCTCCCATATAACTTTCAGTATCTCGTCTACATCAATTGCATGATGCGCGAGTAGAAAGTTTGATTCTTCCGTTGTATTTGCACCAGAATATATCTCACCGAATAAGATCCAACCAAGACTTGTTTTTGCTGCACATGGTGTTCCAGGTGGACCTCTGACTAACTCTGGTTGTAATATCTTAGCATATTCTTTAACACCTAGAAGGAGATCGATGGAGCCTGGCGTACAATAACTGGGATCAGCTAAGTGTAAACCTTCTAGATGTGGCCAATTGTAAACAGCAAGTGATTTTGTGGGTATCTTAGTAGTCAGTTGTTGAGCAATGATATATGCTTGTACTTGTATATTGTAATGTGAATCGTATCTAGAAACTACTTTGAACTGAACTACTTGATTTACATTTGATCTCATAGATCCCATTCCGACTATGCTTCTTTTCGCTGTTGTTCTTGTGAGTTGTAGTAATTGAGTTGCTTTTTCGCTGATGAATGATGATTCAGACCCTGGATCTATTAGCGCTCTTAACACAGTATTATGACCATGTTCATTTGTGACAATGACCATTGCAGTTGCTAATAGAGCTATTTTCTTTCCAGTATTGCAATTAGACGCAACCATTGTATTGACTCGTATTTCCTCTTGCTCTTCTACACTGGATTGTAATGACACAGTCGGTTGTATGGTGCTTATTTTACCCGAAGTGTCTGCTTTCTTCTGTAAGTGTAGAAGCGAATGGTGACGTTTGTGACAAACATGACAGGAAACTGGTATACGACATTTTAATACCGAATGTCCTGGTACTAGACAGTTGTAACAAAGATTATTATTCTTTGCGTATTCTTGACGTTCCAGTGGGCTTAACTTTGTAAACTCCTTGCAATGACATAAAGCGTGGTCACTCTTGCACATAACACAAATTTTGTTTGAAGTTGTTACATGGTATGATTTTTCTTTTACAGTTCGCTCTCTTGTGTATGAAGATGACGGTGTAACTAATTCTAGTGTACGAAACTGTGATTCTAAAAATTTCTTCAAGTCAGTCCACGTAGGCAACTCATCTGTATTTTCTTTATAAGCATACGCCTCCCATTGTTTATGTGACTCAGGGTCCAACTTCTGTACAACAAGAAATATAATTATCGGATCCCAAGAATCGGTGGTAATATTTAAATTTTGTAAGTTATTTATACACTCAGATGTAGTGTCTAACAATGACTTAATTTGATTAGCAGACTGACTAGCAATTTTCTTTTGTGTAAATAATCGTTTTAACAGAGAGTTAACTATCAATCGTTTGTTACCGTACCGGTCCTTCAATGTATTCCACGCTAGCGCATAATTATTCTCTGTTATTTGTATATGCTTCAATAAATGCTCCGCCTCACCGCTGACACTTGTTTTCAAGTAATGTAATTTTTGTACACTGCTTAGAGATGTGTTATTGTGTACCAACGAAATAAATAAATCTTGGTACCCTGTCCACGACTCGTACGTTCCTAGGAACAGGGGTAAATTAATTTTCGGAAGTTTCACTTGAATGTTTGAAGTGTCCCGCGGTATTCTTTCAACTGAACGTGACACTGGCAAAGCTGATAACACATCTTTAAGGTCGGCTTCCAAGCACAAGTACACATCTTCATGTAAATAGTATTCTTCATTTACGAAATACGGCAACAAGCTCCTTTGTTCTCTGGTCGTAGTGCGTATCAATTCTTCATGTGATTTCTTAAAATTCGTCCAATAATCCTCAATACACTTCAATCGTGCTTCAATGTATCCTTTTGTTAATCGTGACTTCGGGCATTTTTTAAGATTCACTTGTGTTTTCTTCAATAAATTCCCTGTTTCTTCAAGTATACTGATGATTTGGTCCAAAGTAGCCATATTTCATAAAATAGTCTTCCAAATATCAATTTATATACAAGTAATGTAAATGGCGTAAATTATAACTATTCAACTTTAAAACTTTAAAAATATGACTCGGCGATGTACTTAAGCAATACAATGTTGTTTGTTTCTTTGTTCTTTTGTTCTCGACGATGGGTCGGCTCGGCGCGGCGGTCAGCAGGTACTCGGTACAATTCTCAGGTAGTCCGGCTCGATTGCGGCCATATAATGTATGGGATATGGTTGAATTTTGCTTAACGTATTTTGTGTAATGTCTAGAGCAAGGAAACACACGTCTGTTCTGTAGTAATTTGTATTTGCAACTAAACTGGAATAACACTAAGTTAATGTTTTTATTTTTTCGAAATCCGTTTTGCTCATTAGCAAATATTTTATATTTTTCTAAATATGAGTAAAGGTTATTGTAAATTACCTTCTCAAAAATTTTTGCAAATATTGTGATAAAAGCTATAGGTCTATAACAGTCTAGATTTTCCCTATCACCTTTTTTAAATAAAGGTTTTATCACTGATAATTTTAGTTTATTAGGAAAAATGCCATTTTCTATACAAAGATTAATAACATAACTTAAAACTGGTGAAATTATTCCTGCTACATATTTAATTACTTTTGTTGAAATTTCATCATAACCTATGCTTGCAGTATTTCGTAAGTTTTTAATTATTAAATTTATGTCATCAGGACCAGTGGGTAACATAAACATAGAATTATAATTTCGATATGATACGATACGATTAATGTCAATTACATTATTATTGCTACTATTACATGTCATATTTATATTTTCGTCAAAAGAAATGTCATCCGTATTTGATTTGTTATCACAGATTGAATTTTTTATAAAGTAATCATTAAATGCATCTGCTATTATTTGTGAGTCATGTACAATTATTTTATTAATATATATACTTTCTATAGGTTCCTTAACAACATTAGATTTATTGCTATTTATAACATTCCACGTCGCTTTACATTTATTTTTTGATGTCTGTATGTAATTGTCATTTTTTAACTTTTTAGTAAATTTAATAATGTTTTTAAGACGCCTACTATAGGTTTTAAATTTATTTTTATTTTCTATAGTTTTATTTCGTCTATACTCCCATAAACATTTTCTTTTACGTTTACTACATAGTTTTAAGCCCTTAGATATCCAATTAATTTTTTTTTCAGTAGGTACTTTAATTTTGAGTATAGGAAAACAGAGGTCATAGAACAACTTAAATGTATCATAAAACACGTCAAATGCTTCATTAGGGTCATTATTAGTATATACATCAACAAAACTTAGTGCCTTAAGAGTTTTCTTAAACTTAATCAAATTATCAATATGAATATCTCGTTTTTTCGTAAACCAGTGTGAAATAATGCAAGTTTTTTTACGGGACATTTTAGAACTTGTGCTGTATGATCAGATAGAGCAAGTTCTATTACATTACTTTTAGAACCCCTAACATTGTGTATTATATTATCAATACAAGTTGAGCTGACCAAGCGTGTTGGTTCTTTAATAGCAAATTTTAAACCGAAACTGTGCAGGGTACCTTGAAATTGCAATGAATTTTTAGTTTTAATTAAAGTATCTATATTGAAATCTCCCCTATTATTATTTTTTTATTCCTCTGGTTTTTTGTTATTTCCGATAACACTTTATCAAATACATCAAAAAAAGTCTGCATTGAAGTTGAATCTTGTCTTGGTGGTCTATAGATACATAACAACGTGATGTCATGGCTAACTAATTCTATACCACAACATTCAATAATATTTTGTACACTATACTTTTGTAATTTGGACAATGTTTTGAATTTATGTATGTTTTTAACCATTATACACGAACCCCTTTTCGTATAGATCTAGAAAAAACTGCTGCAATATTAAAATTTGGTATATATAACTGATTGATATCACCTTCCACCATATTGTGTTCCGTTATACACAACACATCGATTGAAAAGCCCTCATTTTTTAACTCATTCAAACTCATGCTTAATAGATCCGATTTACTAATAAGACCATTTATATTTTGATGCAATACAGTGATATTATTATACAAGAAAAAACGAATCTTCTGTTTTATTAACCATTTCTGAATTAGATTTGTCATTATTACAATTACTTAAAGCTATGTTCGAAGTATGAGAAATATCATCAGTCTGTGTATATTTATGACAGAAATTTGTTTGCCTTACTACGTTGTCATAATTACTTAAATTTAAAATGTATGTTTCATAATTATATTTGTAGGTAATATGTAATATTTCTCTTAAAAGATGTCTACATAGAGTAATTGTAAATTTCATTTTAGTTAATTTAATCCTAGAATAATCCATGTCAATAAATGAAACATTTTTGTGAAAATTAGAAATGTGCCGCAACTCATAATTTAACCGACTTTCGTTAAGTTTCATATTAAATGGTATTTCAGAAAATATTACATTGGTATTAACAATACTCTTCAGCCAACTAGTCACGTACATCTTAAATTCATACGGATTAACCTCATTTGTACCTCCTATAATAAGAACATAGTCATTTTTTGTCAATTCTAATATATATTTGTTATCAAATTTCAATATTTCAGATAATCTTGCCCCAGATTTCCAAAACGCTGTTACTATAGTCGTTGCCCAAAAGGTTTTGTAATATTTGTCTTACTCCGCGGCATTGTTGGTCTCCTAGAATTACAACATTCTTTTTTGTTGTTTTTATATGTTGCTCATTGTCGTAGTATGTAGATTTATTATTAGAAAATACTTCTATGTTGTTATCCAGTCTGTTAGTGTTTATCAATGTATCCTTCAAGTTTTGCTCTTTGGTCCCCTTATCAGTAATTAGGTTTTGGTTGCACTCTGCTTGTATACATACATTGTCTGGAGAAAACGATGGTTCTCTCGAGATCGTTTTTTTTGTTACGGATTTCTTCTTTTTTATTATAGGTGTGCTCTCACATTTATCGTTTTTGTATATGTCTATAATTTTTAAACATTTTTCTAACTCTAGCTTTAATTTAGTATTCTCCAAGTTAAGATCATCAATTTCAGAATATGCCGAATGTAGATCTGTAGTTAATTTTTCTATGTAATTATCTTTATTTTGAATATTTATACTCTCATCCATCGAAGTATTTGGTAAACTCATATTCGTGGTATCATAAAGTGACGAATTAGATAGACTATGGAATGAGCTTGATCGTCTAATTTTCCTAAATGTTATATTGCTTGGCGAAGTCATCTTTAAATTAGTCTTTCTTGACATTAATTAATTAATCAATAAGTTATATGTATAAACCATTAACTGATATTATAATATATTTAAAATATTTATAATATATTTAAAAATCAAGCGATAGCAGCGCCACCTACCTATGATGTTAATTAATGGACCAAATGGTCTTGCATCCAAAACTATCTAGTTGTCTATGTCTTGTTATAATGTTGAAAAATGCGTCTGCGTCGTTCTTTAAAGTGTCAACTATTACACTGTGACAAGTAGTAGTCGTGTATATGTCATTTGTCAGTTATTGAGTCAGTTCCATCCATTCAATTAGTGAAAATTTGTTTGTTTACATCCATGAATCAGTTAATTGGAGTAAATAATATTGTAACGGTATTTTTAAATTAGTAACGGTAAATTATGGCTTACCGCTCTTGGAAATATAGTGAATTTCTCGCATTCGTAGCACTTTGTGATTCGTTTTTCATATATGCCAGGGTAACTTACTTCTGTAGCTATATTTGGTATATGTTTGTAATGTTTTATATGCACTTTAACTAATTTTTACTAATTATTCTATCGCAGACGTATTTAATAGATATTACTCTGGTGACAGCTGTCACATATGTTGAGTTGTGGTTCACATTGACTCTGTTTTGTAATGTGTGTAAATTGTTGTTAAATTTTTTATGTCATTAATGTTGTGTACGAGTATAAATTCTTTTCTATTCTGTTATTGTAGGCTGAATAAAAAAGTTACGACTGTAAAAAACGATGTCTAAGTTTTTTAACTTATTGTTTCATTGACAAACTTTCTCGATTGCTTTTATGATTACTGTACAGACTAGGTATTAAGAGATACAATATTGGAAAAAAACATTATATTTTATACGGTTTGCTTTCTTCTAATTGCCAAAGAAATTATTCTCACTATTCGTTTTTTTTAATTTTATTTTACATATTATTTTTTTAACAAGTAATAATCCGCCTGCCTGCCATAACGATGGATGCTGGCGGTGCGCCAGCAAAGGCTTAACCTAAGCATAAAGTAGGTCAGTTAGAGCTTCCAGGGGGACCACGTAGAGTTCAACCGAAAATGTCTAACAATATGACCTACTACCTACTACCTACTACCTACTACCTACTACCTAGTGCCCATTACTAACAATCCCCGTACGTAGGGGGCACGTGCCCCATCGGCATGTCCATGTTCATGACAGCTGTGGTGGTCTAGTGGTTTGGCATACCGCTTTACAATCTGATGGTCGCGGGTTCCATTCCTCGCACGGTACAAACATTTGTATTCATAAGTATGATTGTTCGTATCGGTCTGGGTGTTTTCTATGTATATGTATGTATTTATTTCCATAACATAAACTCTGCTTAGCTTGGGACTTGATATCGTTGTGTGAATTTTCTTTAAAAAATAAAGAGAACAACATATATATATAGGCGACGTTGAAAAATACATGGCATCTTAATTAGGCTTTCAGCCCGAAAGCTTATTTAAGATGACGCGTTTAGTTCATGTACCTACCTGATACGAGGTCGCTGGGGGGAGAGGGGATCGTTAGTAATGTGGACTGATGATCTTATTGCTAGCAATGTACCATGTCAGGTTGACCTCCACGTGGTTCCCCCTGGAAACCATTGTCAAAAATTCCTGGTGAATTTGTCATAATGGACTACCTGACCCGACCTCATGCTCATCTTATCATCCTCCACTAGTGACCCGCTAGCGTAAACCGTTAGTGCAGGGT